TGATTTTGCAAAATTTAGGTCAGGATCATTCTGTTGGATAGTGAAACACCGATAGTTTTGCGTCCAAATCCAGGGAGATTCCGTCAGTGAACCCATGTGATGTACGATATACGATAATAAACATTCTCTCTGGAGAATTTTGTATCTACATCTTTGAGAAAATGCTATCGACCGGGGCATAGAGGTTTTCGGATCCGATTATTGAAGATCAACCAGTTTATGTTTTTTCAGTGTATTATTTTGTACAGAGCACATAGAACATTGAGAAACTGAACACAGATAGATACATAAATAGATAGATAGATAGACAGATGGATAGATAGATAGATAGATGGATAGATAGATAGATAGATAGATAGATAGATAGATAAATAGATAGATAGATAGCGGTTTTCCTCGATCAACTCAATAAACCGACAAATTGAACGGAATCACGTGGACACGCCAGTGCAACTCTAGGATCGAATGACGTAACAAACATTCACATTGAGAACGGACAAAACAGTAATCAAGACGAAATAACAACTCCACCAAAACCACCACCACCATCACCCCTTCGCACCAATTCAGCGGCAAACCGAGTCGAACACACACATACACATACACAAGCACTAAAGATGTCACCATGACTGGGGATGAAACGTTTGGCAGCAAATTGCCAATCACTCGGTGAAAAAAAGCAATGAAATTCAGTTCAACCGAGCTACTAGTTGTTCAATAATGATTATCTATTATTTAGTTTAGACGTATTATGATTACCTCGCAACCAATCTATTTTTTTTAGACAGCGTTGTATTGCTATCAATTTTAATTATTGTTGATGAACTATTCGCAATCTGTCGTCAAATAATTTTACAATGATTGAGTATACTTAGTTAACTTGGATATGGACTACCCTTAAATTCTATCGATCAGTTGTATTAAATTGTGGTAACTAAACTACTACGCAGCGCACAATGAGCCAACTGGTCATAAAATTTATTTCAAAAGAAAAATAGGAGCAGTAGGAAATCAGAACATCTCCCGGTCGTCAAACACATTTAATATTCACTGCAATTATTTATGTGAATGCGCACGGAACGTTGGTGATGGTGGGATCAAAGTACATCTACACACACACACACACACACACACGAAAATGGAGACAAAATGCGGAATTACGAAACGTCCACCGCGTCGCTGACTGGGCGTCTTTGCAATACCGAATCAGCATTCTGTCTGTGGTTGATCGTATGAATTGTGTATGATGAAAATCCCGAGATATAGGGAGATCGCTTTTAGTGAAAAGAGGAATTTAATCATGCGCGTTCATATGAGATTTTTGGGCGTATTCCACCGCATACTTCACCGAACGATTTCATCCGGGATTATGGGCGTCTGTTCACATTGGGTGACTGTGACTGCTTCGCATTGTTCACGGATCAGTTATTACGTCATATGAGCGGAAGTGCGGTTTTCCTGTGGAATGGGAGGGTGGGGAATATATCTGAGCCGATTTGGAGAGCAATTTATCCACATTTCTCTCTCTCTCTCCCCATGTGTGTGTGTGTGTGAGTGAGTGCAAGCCAATTAGAATTAAAAAATAATACGTGGAAAGAATCTAGAACAGAAGAAAAAAGCACTATTTTCAGATAACAACAACCATAAAAATTGTCATCAAGCTGTTGGATTATTGGTACGTTGTTTCGGTAAATTATCGTAAACGGACACAACAAATTCTATCCGTATCAGGTACTTTTGAGAAAAGTGACAAATTTGTATCGGTAATTTTAAAAATCGATTTTGAAAACAGTCTTTTAACTTATCTGTTTTCGGTCAATGAATGATAGTATTTTATTAAAATCCATGGAAATTAACCATTATTTCGTTGTATATAATTCGGGTGGTTTCATGAACTTATTTACTCTGACTGTTCAAAGGTAGCAGCCGAGCAACGTACTTCATTCGCCTGAAGGTGATCGTTGACAGCTTTTGTTTGGCATAGAACACTGGTGGCCACGGTTGAATGAAGGCTGCCACATAACATATGTCAANCAAGGGGCATGATGGTTTCATGGTTTGAACCTGTTGTGTCCCAGAACTGAGCAAACAGTCAATTAAGCAGTACGTTTATTGTAAACAGCAAATATGTAGCCGGTTTCAAAAGCAGGCAGACAGGTAAGCCGACTCCGGCTCACACGTAGCACTACATGCGAATACCGTCAAGCCAGCATTCAAACACTCAGTCAATCGATCAACCGACCAATCAATCAATCAATCAATCAATCAATCAATCAATCAATCAATCAATCACTTTGGCCACAGGCATGTATAAACACAAATCAGTCAGTTGTTGGCCACAATAGAACCCACAAATTCGACTACGATAGACGACCTAACTCCACACACTTATTCACGCTTCATTTGCTCTATGCCCAGAGAATACGCACTTTCATACTGAATCAAATCGTTCATTACTCGCATGCAACAAGCTGTCTGGTTGTGAAAGTTTCCAATCGAGTCATAACCCCGGAGGCCTAAGGGCTAAGATGAGCGAGACGCGATGCTCGCAACAAGCTTGCAAACAATCGGTTGTGCTATATCGTGTAAATGAAAAACAAAAAGGTGGCCTTAATAGCTACCCACCTGTGTGTGACCGAGTGGGTAACATGCTTGCATTCTCCCTATGAGGTTCCGGGTTTTCCCGATCCCCAATTGAATTTATGGATTCACGCACTGTGCAGATGAGGTCCAATCAGATCGAAGCAGCTGCGGAGTGTTTGCTGACTTCCCATGGAGCTTATTGATTTGACCACCGCTGTCCGCATTCAACCCAAACGTGGTCAATTGTACTGTAGTTATTCGACATTTTTTTGCACGTGTGACACAACTTGATGATGCATGCAAATTTCAAAGTCTGGACTATTGAATAACTTGTCGCTGTTATCAGAATAGATCCCGCATCCAGTCTATATTCCTCGGTCTTTGTATTTTCCAAAAACGTTTTATACCATCTGACTAGTTGAGAATTATTCATTTTTCTATGCATGCCGTTGGTTTTCGTGCTATTTCAACATAGTTCAGAACACTCTGTGTATTCGTTTTGAATTCGAAATCATTCTCTCGGATTAACGATGTCTCTATCAGTTTCGGAGAAATGATGCACCATTATTGATTTAATATACTATATTTATCATGATATGTATGTGTTGGGGATCTTATTAGACCACCTTAGTAAACGGGATGATTAGCGAAGCACATGATTATGTCAGCCGTTACATACTTCAAGCGGCATCGAGTCCAAAAATCCGTATGTATTATATTGTATATACAGGCATATATATGGTAATGGCTCGGTGGTCTACGTCACCAAATTATCACCCCGGAAGACGTGTGTTCGACTCCCATCACCATTGCCTGACGTTCCCCGTTATGTGTTGTACGGCAGCCCCGTTTGATTGGCCGCTTCCCCCCTCCAGGAAATTTCATCGTTGTGTATTCAATCAAAGGAACGGTGGTGGTGGTGGCGCAGTGGTTTAGTCGCTGTCACAAGCGTGCTTTGGACCCTATGGTTCGATGTTCGAGCCCCGCCACTGCCACCCAACTTTGATAATAGACAGTTCTGCTGTGTCCGGTCCAATACCACATCTAACCTGTCGGGGCCTCATGTGGTTCGCCACTCCAAGTCCCGGGGCTTAGGTTACCGGTTTCCATTACTGAACAGTAGGTCTTCGTGACTATGGGGTTCACCCCGTCTGCTGGTAATCACACGAAAGTGTGTAATAAAAAAAATGAAAACAATTGATAAATAAAAGAATGGAACAAATCAGTGTGTTTATCCCTCACGTCTACCCACCTTTTCTTTTCCATCTCTTGCAACACACACATCCACAGCTGAGCTCAGTCAGTAGAGAGCTTGCCATGGAATTTGTCAGCTTTTGTCCGTGGGATTCACGATGTCGATCATTGCTGGAGCTGCATCCGGATTTGGAGGCGTTATGTGTCTGCGATCTGTCTAATACCGTGTTGGGGACGGCTTATACGAACCCGGAATTCGAGGTGAGTTCAAACTAGTAGTGCATTATGTGCGAATACAAGGTTTTAACCTTCTTTCTTATTTATTGAGTATACTATTGTACAGTCAACGTTCAGGAAGAGAGACACGGAAATGCAAATGCTGCCTAGAACAAGTACAGAGATGGGAAAGTGTAGTAATCGAAGTAGGCACAGATTATGAATCACGAATCACGGACCTAACCGAAACACGTAATCGCGCTAGCACTTGTACGCTGGAATCTCCCATCACCCAGACGCAGGAATTAGGCCACAGAAGTAGCAGTTCCCTTATTCAAAAAATATCAATGGAATTAAATAATCTGGAAATGATGATTGTTCAAACGAATATCAACCAATCACCGTTCTCGTTCTTTGAATACCACGGCTTCTATTTGAACTGTATGGCTGTTGATTGATCGGTACTGTTGACCCATAGTCCAATGTCCAAAAACTGGAACGCGTAGGTGCTTGCCTGGCGTTAGCTGGGATGGTTGACTCACCACAGAAAGTTTGACGGTGTTAGCAAGATTCAAACCCAGAACCTCCAGGTGACTATTTTGATGATCTTAATCACGACCAAAACGTTTGTTATCATGCACGGAAGGCGGTCATGGACACAATAGTTTGTGCTTGGTATCCTCAGATATACCCTTCAAACAACTGCAATAAAGTCAGTTTCTCTAAGTGAACCTGGGTGCATCTTTCTTGTCATTTAACTCCAAACACCTCAAAGGAGGAATCGAACATACAACCTCATTCAATCCGTGAAGCGGAGTGATTTGGGGAAACCTGCATGCTTGGGGGTCTTATGACAACATGCTATTGCCCCGTTTTACCACCAGCCAGTTTTCGAAGTTTCTATGAGGCTGTAGCGGTTGAAGTACGCACAGATCACGAATTGCGTATCATCATGTATCGGAAATCACGAACGGAACATAAGCACTGAATCACGTTTGCAATTTCACAACAGCATCCCACGCAACTGAGACACAAGGAAAAGGCCACTTATTGACAGAAATCATGGGATTTAAATAATATGAACAAAACAAGTCCATTGGTCAACCAAGCATCTACCAGTCGCGTGCTAGTATTTCGGGCATTGTTCAGCTTCTGTCTAAGCCGCACGGCTGCTGCTTGATTGGTACAATCAGCCCATGTTTCTTAGTCTAGAAGCTGTAACCCATAGACACTGCTAGCGTCACATAGGACGCTTGACTCACCACGATAACTGTAACGTGTCGCCCTGTGATCTGCGTCAGCCCGTAAGCCAGGATCGCCACAGAGGCAGAGCAGAGTACACATGAGCGGNCTTTACATATCAATAAAGGCTTTAAAATTGAGCAACGAAGACAAAGCTACTCCATTTAGTTAGCCGGTCAATGGGACCGAAATTCTGTTGTTATGCCGAATGCCTGTATCAGGAACCACCGCTTACCGTAGAACATTCTCTTGGTTATATTTACATGTACAAGCGGAACCCAGAAAAGCGATCAACTACAGGTCAGTAGCTATGCCAACCGGAATTCCCCGGATTCGTCGACCGTTTTCTTCCCACCGAATTGAACCATGTATCATCACATCGCTTTGGAATATGGTCACACTTAATAGGCCCCTAAAGCCGAGCCAAGTGCCACATTCGTCAACTGATTATCAATCTTTATAGAGATGAATAATTGGGAATTGTTTTTGGTTAACCGTATTTGATCATGGTCTGATACATTCGTTTCACGATCCCTCATGTCCTTGTTCGTTGATGTCTTAAGCAATACTCTCCACGCACACACACACATGCACACACCGACCACAAAGGTGGAACCTCGTTTTATTGGTTCCTCTGTACTGAGGTAACTTTGATCGATGTTTCAAATGACACTGATCAGAGTGGAGCCTGAGGGGAACGCGGTAAACCTGAGAGTACTCACACATCACCTAATGATAAGCACATTGCTCACATTGTTTACATTATAAACTATGCGTGGCAGTAAACCGGATTACAGTGAAGCTGTCCAAGTATCAAATCAAGGATTCAGGTCTGGGCTCGAACCTCGGGATTTTCTGTTCGAAGTGCACTGATGGCAGCAATTTGACACCTTGGACTATCACCAGTCATTCACACTATTCACGACCAGCTCAACACAGAGAGAAAGAGCATTTTCAGGTTATCAAAGTGAAGGTGAAAGTTTCCAGGCATCGTGTACCGCATTGGAACTCTCTATGGCATCGCTTAGTGACAAAACGACAACGGCAACAAATTTCCTGATAGACAATAAACGAGTTCATGGTGCAGATGATCGGACAAGGGAAACGTGAACTGTAATCTCGTATTGTGAATCTATTGTTCAGTGTTTGTACCCAACACACAGAACCAAATATCAAAACGCAATCCAGAGCGTAGCTCACAAGTTAAACGAGGGTCGCTATATACTCGGACTGTAATGATGGAACTCGATTGATGTCAATGGAGGGTGATGATTTTCTACGACTACAAATGTGATTTGAAACAGCAGCTACAGCAATAGCAGCAGCAGATCCATGCAACATTTTTGTGATCCCAAATGTCATGCACATAATACGCGGACTCCATTGCGAGTCCCCAAACGGCTGCAGCGAGGAGGCCTTCGACATGGTTGAGCTGTTTCACCAAATGATTTGAGCGCATGGAACTATGCGGGCATGAACGCTGGTGGAGGAGAAAATGTGATACTTCATTTTGTGTGAAAAATGACACATCTTGAGCATCCCGAAACTTTTCGCTCAGCCCCTGACATAAGCGAAAATCGTTCGATCTCATCCTGTAATATAGATCCATCATTCAGTCTTCGGGATATGATAAATAACCGGTCTGATTTCACGCATCAGTCGTGTTTAAATTACTCACCTCAGCGATGACGGCTGCTGATATCAAAAACTGTATTGTCGTTGATGATGCGTCGGAACTTTAGTGGAACAATGTGAACCGGAGTTGGTTTCATTAATTCCTAGGTCCGTATGTTCCACAAGATCATACTATTGCAACTGTCCTACTCTTCGCGGAATGAGAGGTTCCACAACAAGTCGATAGATAATCTATTTTTTCAGTTTATCTATTTCCCATTACGTTCGTCGCCATTGTCATTGAATGAAACACTCTATTTGGCTATTTATTCTCCCAGTTTGACTTCCACCATAAACGTTACGCATACGGAAGGACAATAATTTATCATGTTCAGCTTTGAATGTCGGTTTTTTTCCGATACATAAAACCGACTCTTCTAAATCGTTACAAAATAAAGCATGGAAACGTATTCGAAAAAAATCTAATAGCACAATTAATTCATTGATTTACAACCAGAGCTGAGCTTAAATGGGCGTTCTGGGAACAGAAACAAATTGACAGAGTTCGGTTGTGAATTGAGCACTGATTTGATGTTTTTAATTGAAATATATTTATGTCTTTATGTAAGTTCTGTACGTTGTCAATGGTCAGATTTGTGACTGTGCGTTGTAATGCTAAAACCATCAGGACCATTGTGATAGACGGACGGAGAGCATGCGTGTGCGCTTTTTTAACATATAATTTGTTGCTTAGATATTCCAGGCAAATTGGACTACAAACTTCTATTGTCCTCGTTCTTACGCATATCATTATACAACTAATTACCCCATTGTTTACTCATTTCTGTGGTCTGATGATGGATAGATTTCCCATGATTTGCCCAAATTTTCCAACTCTACCGAATTGAAGGACTGATTAAATAGTCCAGTTTTGAAAGGATTCTGACTTTTCGACTGTTGACTATCGTTCAACCATGTCTACCGGCAATATTAAATAATCGAGATTGGGGTTTCTTTTAGCAGACGACTGAATATGCTAATTGATTGTTTGCTTCATTTTCAATCGTCAATTTCAAATTCCGATGCGCAGCAGTGAAATGATCTCTAGTATATGTCTGTAGTCCGTTGCACAATCGACCACGCACAAAATATCGTCTACGTATTTTTCCATGGGTGTTTCAAGCGGACCGTTTTCTATTTTAGACATAAAAACATCGACAAACAAGCACCCTGGAGGAGACCCCATTGATACACCATACTTCTGGAGTGAGATTTTCTCATTGAACTTGAATTGCACATTGTGAGTGCACAAGAATAACAATTGTTTTAGGTCATTTGTCGGTAGGCCTACGTCAGTCCCGTTATTTTCGATATAGGTAAACAAATAATCAATTGTTTCACCGATCAGAACATTCGTGAACAGAGATGTGACACCTAGTGAAAACATGTGGCCATCTTTGATATTGACACCACTTAAGGCAGCAATGAGACCGGTTGTATCCTTATGGCTATGATGGGCTAACTTTCTCCTCACCAGTTTCAGAAGACAAGCCAACCATTTGGCAAGGAGAGTTGCACACGTCCAGGATTGACCCGAGAGGGGAACTCCACTTTCATGTACTTTGGGCAGCCCATACAACTAAATGTATTGGGATCAATGCAGGTCTACCGACAGATAACCCAAAACTATTGATATTTTTCTGCATTCACTATATGCAGTTCAAGTTTAATGAGGAAATCTATCGCCAGAAAGACGGTTTAGCAATGAAGTCCCCACTAGGGTATGTAAGCACTAGCGAATGTTACTTTCTAGTGTGATACTTTAGTACTTCACATGATTGACCCTACACATCGGTATTCCATGAATCGGTACATTGTTCGAGGGAGATGGGAAACGGTTTAGAGTAAAACTACATTCAAGGTATTTTTCGGGATTAAGAATAAGACCGAATGAAGTTGAATATGAAACGAGGTGGGATAAGTTGGTGTTATATTCAATCAGCTCTCATTGGTTAGATACGGAAACAGAAATGGGGGTATCATTGTAACAGGGGAGTAATAGATAAGTCACTGATAAGAATGCACCTCGAAATGCACCCGAGCAATTGAGTGATGTAGTTGACTGTCTTCGTCCCAATTTAACATACTGATATCTTTGTGAAAAGTAATCTGCAAGTCATTCAAGAAGAGAACTGGGACAACCAAACGATTGGAGCTTGTTAAGTAAAGGAGAACGGGGCCCCGAGTCAAAAGCGACTTACAGATGAAATGAACCCGAGAAGAAACAACATCTAATGTAGAGCGGTTATGTTTGCATGCAAACTGATAAGTATCATCGGGTGTGGTAAGGAATAATGGAAGACGATGCAGAACTGATCGCTCCATCAATTTCCAACCGGTAGAAGTAAGAGCAATTGGTCTGAAACGCATCGCTTTTGTGGCGTTTCATGTTCCTTTGTGGATGATAGTAATTCTCACTGGGCGCCAGCAATCCGAAATAGTTCGGGGCTCCAGTGGAACATTATCTGTGTGTGTAAAAATGTGAAACAGTAGCACAGCACCGTGTTTAAGAAGTATAGGACTTAAGTTGTCTGAACTAGGTGTGGTTTATACTTTGGAAGAACGCATTAGTCTATACATTTCACTAGATGTCAATACAACCGGGGCGTGTGTCAGACGAAGAATGCAATAAATGTAGCATTCAGCTGTTCAATTGCCAAGGAAGAATTTTGAAATCATTTTCTTCTGCTTCCACGAAACATTGATTTAAAGTTGCTGTTCCCAAAACTGGCTTGCCTAAAGGGCGCCCAATCGTCTTATTTCACTCTTGATCAGAAAATACAGTCGTTGCATTTTGGCTTTCCTGCCAAAGTTAAATACACGTTCCTTTTCAAGACAACGAAATTTAAGAAAAGGTGTTGATATTCTACTACAGGTATTGACCAAACTCGTGCAGCATCCTGATTTTCATCACATTTGTTCTTCTCAATGCTTCGTTTTTTTTCAGCCTCATTCACGGGATTGAATATGCTATTGCCTCACATCAGACACAACATATCTGATACAATATCGACTTATGTCACTGCTTCTATTAGCCACATGCCATTGAAATGAACAATTTCGCGATTTTAACGATTTTTGCTAATGCATCAGTTGTAAGATAACAAGGTCACAGTAGAAAACGTAATCGTAATTTATTTATTAAAATGACTCATAGGCTTTCATCTCGACCATGTTCCATTTGCTGATCTTCATTTCTGAGCACTGGAGGGAACACAGTTATCACAGTGGAGCACATTTCAAAAAAGCATGGTTTAAAATTTCTGTTATAAATGTTATTTATATTAGACAACCAAGTTGTCTGAAGAGAAACAGTCAGTAACCACTTTGAGGGACTCTTTTAGATCAATATTGTCCGGAATAAGGTCTCGCTGACGAAGCAGGATATGTTAAGGTTGAGTAAAAGGAAAATATCCTAAGCGTGGTTAAATCTAAGGTCTGACAAGGATTGGATTATGATCACTAGTGCTTTAGGAGGAGAAACTTTTGAGGACCTTCTAGTAGATTCAGTATTAAGATCACTGAATTGTTGGCAGAATAACCGGCACGGGGGTGTGTGAATAAAGCATCCAACTCTTAGGTGCAAACTGTCTGCACAAGACGGAGCAATAACCGGTAGAAAACGATCACAAAATGTCTCGAGTTATAATAACCTACACCGGAGTACAATGTATAAATTGGTAACAGCACCAGAAGGAAGACGATAAAAAATTGAAATGGCAGACGATGGTCAAACAATTGCTAACATTCTTTGAATACTTGAAAAGTACCGTGGACTTACCACATCACTTGGAGTTGATGTAGCTAATCACACCGCCTCTCAATTTCTTCCTATATCATTGTCTATCGTGTATGAAGCAAAAGAAATTGGACTACAGAATCATCTACAGCGTCACTCAGCTATGACGTTTGGATATGCAAGACACAAGAAATGCGAAATTCCCTTCGCTAGAGCAGGCAGGACCAATCTGGAAGCTTCTCAAACAATTGTAGATAGATAGTCATCATGCTAAGAGCAGCGCAACCGAGAAAATTGTGTGCGTTTTCCGCTTTTGGAGTATTTGTGTTTTAACTAGTGACTGGCTCTCCAAACAGCGCAGCGTGGTGGTTCGGATCTTTTGGTCACCTATTTGGACAAAAGAGCAGAATTAAGCTAAGAACGTTAAGAACAAACTCAACGGAGGATAGAAAATTCACATAGACAGGGATTGCAAGAATAATGAGTAGATGCAGGAGCGCCACTGTTTGCGACACCCAGCCGAATCGTTCATTGTCTCCAACCATCGATGACCATGATCTCGAGGTCCCCAGACAGGGAGCCTAACGAGACCTATGTGATCGAGTCTCCTTGTTAAGGTAGTCATACCCTCATGCCAGGTGCTCGTTTGATCGCCCTTGGCCCTTTCCCATCCACTATCTACATTAGCAAAATTGCACGCATGGGCAACTTATCCAGTGACATGCCGAACACATATCCCACTCTGCGTAATCTCTGAAGATCGGAGACTTGCCCCAGTGGATTATTCCGTTTACCTAAAGCTCTACACCCTACCATACTTGTGTAATGTGGCGTTGACAGTTGTGTTCGACCACTGACAAACTATTTTTATCCTGTTCCTTTTGGTAAAAAAAAAACCGTAATAAAAATAGCAGTTAGGAATGAAGCAACAGTCAATTCAAATCAGCAAGTGAACATCTTTTGTCTTTTCATTCAAATACTTCGTAATTTGGAAATGTGGTAATATCCAAAAATTTCTCAATGAGTTGCTGTTTGATGATCAGGAATCGTAGATCGATTTTTCAATGAATACCTTGTTCATAAACGTTGATTTCATCGTTTTTTTTTTTCTAAATTTTCAGGAGATTTCTCGGCTTAATGCATATACTGTGAAACCTTTACTTCTGCTGGCTGGCGCTGCGACAGCTGGAAAAACAAATGTCACCTTTTTAGGTGATCGATTCTTAGTGGTGGAGGCAGAGAAAGAATATTTGGAGGCGAAATGTGGAAAGAAAAGTTTGTTTCTTCGACAAACCAATGCATGTGAGTTTACGTTGTATTCCATAACAGATACGGATGGCATGCGTCAATGATTTTTATCATATAATGGACATATTTCTCTAATCAATTCAAACTGCGTAATTACCGACGATTCAATTGTGGTGAATTTTTCGTGTAGAGAACAAATATAACGTCGACCGAAAGGTTTGATTTATAATATGACTACTTATAAGTAGCACAAGTGTATATTTTCGGATTACACTGAAAACGCATTTGCCACCTGAGTCTGTTCAGACGTAATTGTCTCGTTTTATTTCGATGCCTCTTATGGTAGAGGCTTCGAAATCATCATGCACAGTAAGGAATCAGAAGATTTCAGTCTGAGATTCGTTTTTTGCTTCGGTTCATCTGGAAACTCTTTATCGAAATTAGTTCAATTCAATATACACCATATGGAGCCCAAAACTTGGTACTAAATGTGTGCACGTTTTCACTCTCAATTCAGGTACGATGAAACTACTGACACTCTGTTTCTATTAGGGAACAGGAATACATCTGGAAGCCTTATGATTTCAACCTGATGTTACAACAGTGGAAGCATAGAAAGATGATGGTCACTGGAAACCAATGAGTTTTCCTTTTATCTCGATAAAATAGTCCCGTGGATGCGGCTTATTCTATATTGATTTTTGTGCTTGAAATTGCCTGAAATCGACGCGTAAAATGCTGACGGCATATCAGACAGTGAACTGTTTAGTGTTAAGTTGGTGTAAATACTATCTATTTATCTCTAGATAGAGGAATTCTTGTTTCATTTAAAGAGCAACAGAAAATAAGCCAATCAAGCAAATTAAATGTTAATTGTTCAGTTAGGTTGTTTGACAGATTTAGGTTGTAGTTTTGAATTGTGAAGAGTTCCATGGCCTTGGTGGGTTTCAACTCCACCCCGGGCACTTAACGTTTCACAATTGAAACACAAAATTTAAATGTTTAAGTAGTTTAAGTAGTTTGTTTTCCAGCTTCGAATGGTCCGTAATGAACTGTCAGTTCAGTTAGTTAGTTAATGCGTATATTGTGCTTGCATTTTACCTGTGTGGTGCCCGCTACAACTCCGACTCGAGTTAGCACTGCACCGATGACACCAAACCAGATCGAAATAGTTAGAGAGTGCAGCCTGATTTTTCACTTCATGGCTTATTAGATAGAAATTTGACGAAAATTCTCATACTACTACTACTACTACTACTACTACTACTACTACTACTACTACTAAACAAAATACTAAAAGAAAATACAAAGATAGTTGAAGGAATAACTGTAGATAACTGTAGATTGAAGATAAGTATCATCACAACAAATAAATTGAAATGAGAACTATCGGAAGTGTGGAAACATCGTGGATATAACTTAGCACTAGAATCTCAGGAAAGTTATCCTCGTACAAACGGCATCGTCGTTAAAGGAAAGCGATAACCTGTAAAACTGGAGAACACCCATTTTCTATAAGTGTTTCCATAGGGACTACTAATATGCTTTTCAAGGCACGCTTACTACCAAAACAACCGAATCATGAGCAATATTTATTAGGCAGTTACAGATTGAACATAGAAGAATAGAATATTTTATTCTTTTTTAAAACATTTTAAAACAGTTATAGCTTTCACTGCTAAGTTTCAGTTTCAGTTTTTACAACTGCTAACCATACACACTTTTGTGCACCGATTTTGTTGCTGCTTTTTTGCCGCTCATCTGGATAAAAGAGCAGAATGAAGATTGGCATGTTGAGAAAAAATAGTAGCGACAGATAGCGAATTCATAGAAACGGATGTTGCAATAATAATGAATAATAGAAGATAGATAATAATGAATAGATGCACACACGCCACTGGTTCCGGTATTCAGATATGTCACTGATTGTCTCTAATAACCGGCGACCATGATCTCGGGGTCAATATCTAGGGAGCCTAGCGGTATCTATGTGATCCATTGTCCTGGTTGGGATTTTCACACCCATATACCAGGTCTTAGTTTGATCAATCTTGGTATTTTACACCTACTAATTGCTTAGGCAAAAATGACGCGCGGGGTAACCCATTTGGTGACATGCGTAACACATTTTTCCCAACGAGTGTAGTCCGTGGAGATCGATCACTTGTTCCACTGGACGGCCGTGATTACCTAAAACTCTACTACTAATCTCAGCATTACTCGCTCGGCTAACCCACCAGATTCGTGCAACGCTGCGTAGTCAGCGATGTTCAAACACCGACAATTTATTTTTATCTCATTCCGGTAATGCTCAATTCTCTGCAGCGTAGAGCTGTACTGACCTAACTGCTGCAGCATATAGTCGACCCATCACAGATAACCGGCTGTCGCAGCGGTGCCACAGATGCCTCAAGTTGGCAAATACCGATTGTGTCTTCTGCATGCAAGCTAACGCTTCATCTGTGATACATCCACCGGATGAGATATAGCTGCCCAAATAATAAAACTTGTCCTTCTGGTTTATTACTTCCCCAGTTAGAGATAGAGACTGGGTGCTGGACCAATCCAATCTTGTAAGATCATCTTACACTTCGAAGATGCAAAACGCACACCGAACATGGTTGCACAAGCATTCAAACCATCCACAAGTACCACCCAGAAGTAGAAATACTAAGAAAATTCACGAGTTGCCGTATTTTTTCTCGAAGAGGAGGATACTTTGGAAAACACATTTGCAAAATGTACGCTCATTTTCCCAATGAGTAATGAGTGTAAACCATTACACACACAGTCAGCGGCTTTGCCCCTATCTGTTAAACTGAATCTCGCAAGACTACTCAGATAGACCATTCGAGTGAGTGACGAGCTAAAACACGAAATCAGTTAAGATCGGATGTTGTATCAATTTTCCCCTTTTAAATATGATTTTTCCATACTACAATGAATGATATGATGAAAAGATTTTTGTCGGCTATGAGCTACAAACTTACTCGTCCTGATGAATGGCATACATAAATTCTGAACTTTACTTCAAAAAGCTAAACTTGACATTTCATGTTTCAATGTTACATTTCATTATTTCCGTCTGATTCCAACTTGTGCATTCCAGTGTACTTGATCGGTGTAGCGATGGAAACGGAGAGTAAGAACAAACATGCGTCCGCTCGCGAGGCGATGAATGCAATTCAAGAATATTTCGAGTCTGCCGACTTCTGAAACCGAATATCTGACGCTAAAGTTTCCCTAAATTCTTTGTTGGCAATGAATTAATCAAACTCTGTGATCACTTGTCATCGAAAACACACTTCTAAAAGAGTAATGGATGTTATTTTATTGCTAATTTGAAATGTTTCCGAATGCACGTTTAAACTTTACGATAAACAGATTCAAAGATTCATGATTGTTGCACGCGTTAATGACGGTGATTATTTATTCCTTCCAATTGACAACACTTATATGATGTTTTTCTTTTGTTTGAAAAAAGTTTAAATGTATTGAATTGTGTGAATTGTGGCTACTTATATTATGTAATATAACAAGCGGTATTGTTAAAAGGAAAGAGCCGATTTTCCGTCATTTTATATACATTATAATTTCATGCACTTTTTTAAAAAAGAATCTCCAAGGATAACGCTGAGAATTTGTGCCTCATTTTTATACTAAATTAAAAATCATTAAATATATTTCAGTCATAATTTTGATGTCAGACACACTCGATAGGCTTGCCAGNNNTGCCAGAGTGAGCCTGTTGACGAATGCATTCGTTTCGGAAGTCCTGACTTGGTGGGGGCTTTTGATTGGAGTTAGTAGGTTGTACCTATGTCTCCCTTCGTTGCCGTCGGGCAAATGAACTGACTGACTATCATTGAAGACAACACCTGGACAAACATGAATTGGCAATGTGGTTCAGCCAGGGCGTGAGCTGGTTGGCGCAGTGGTAACGCACACGCCTTCCATGCGATAGGTCCGGAGTTCTGATCCCGGACAGGACGGTGGATATGCAATACTGATGAGCTCTAATAAGGGAGAAACTCGGATCTAGTGCCTCCGACTGTATGGTTGAATCGATGAACTGAGGATTGTGCGTGAAGGTGAAGTCCGAAGGATAGTCAGTCAAATCAATCGATATCGATCATCCCACACACTACTCACAAGTAACTGTGAGTTAAATACGAAAATAAAATCATTCATTGGTCCACATGTGATGAAGTGTGGTCAGGATAACTCCAATCCCCACAGGGATCCCCATTATTAGACCCATATCTTTTCCTTGCCCATATAAATGATCTTTCAGACTTTCATAGGACCACAAGCTTTGCTGTTTGCAGAGGATGCCAAACAAAACTAGAAGATTCATTTGATCTACAGCACACCCTTGACGAAGCCCACAGATGGTCTGTCTCCAATGTTATGAAATTCAACGTTACCAAATGTGAAGTCTTAACACTAAGTTACAATGATCGTTTTTCCTACACTCTCGGACATGAACCTCTGCCTCAAGCTTCATTCAAGAAGGATCTGGGTGGGAGTAGTCATTCGCATAGACTTGAATTGCTCCACAAACTGTTCCATGGTGTTTAAAATAGGTTGTACTGCTTAACAGGTGTTTTTGGATCGTTTGAGGCGGCTTTTTTCACGTCCGTTAGCCACAGATCCGTCCATACACCGAGTACTCAATTCAGGCCTGGAACCCCTCGCTTCGGCAAGAATGGAAGACACTCGAAGATCCGCTGACAATGGCTATCAAGATGGTGAAAGGTTTACATTTCAAGACCTACGGCAAAAGATTACAGCTATTGGAGCTATACTCGTCTCAATATCGTCAACTCAGAGGTGATGCGATCTTACTGTATCGGATTTTTCAACAGCCCAACCACCCATGTAGATCTCTTTTGGTTCTATCAATCAATTTTTATCTCAGAGGGCATCCACTGAAGTTGGCACTCCAAAAAGCCGTCCTGACTGTAGACGCCATTCTTCTGTAGTCCGAGTGTGTAGCACATGGAACTCTCTACCACCTCGTGTGGTCTGTGCGCCAACATTAGTATCTTTCAAGTGTCAGCTTGATGATACCCCTGGCAAACATTATGTTTCAACGCCCAACTACATAATAAATTCTCCTGTGCTCATACATTATACTGCTCTTTTACGTACATGAACTAACTGTGATCTCGTGAATCGTGTTTCGAACCCCGAAGTGTAAACATCCTATGGGATTTGATAAGTGAAGTTTTTGTAAGTTGTTTTTTCCAATAATAAAAATTTGAATTTGATTTTAGAGCACAAGATTTGACCGCTCTGTTTCTCTCTCTCTCTGAGGTCAAACCGGAATGACTGATGTGAATTATCTAATCTGCGGTGGCTTGGTATTTTGGATCGAGTGCGAAATGTGCGCGAGGTGTTCACGTGTGAGTTAGAGCATGTGTCGAAAATAGACAGAGAGTAGCATTTAAATGCGATGGCACAATTTGTGATAATCGACAATCAGTACTCACTGGACAGCTGTTTCGTCTTATTTTGAGACTCGTCAGTAGTGCATGTACTTTTTTTTGTCCCTCGTGTGTCAGAGCTCGAACTGCAAACCATCGGGTCGGGAATTCAAGCCCTTAGCCCTGAGCTACACGGTCAACGGTTATCACCCCGTGCGAATAGCTCAATCAATTTAGCCGGAGAATGCTTGGATAAGCCCATTCGGTTTTTTTTTCACAGGCATCAGGCACTGTTGATGATCTTGGATGTGCGTTTCACTCCTTGGGAGCTCATTAATTCCCCACAAGGTGAATGCATCTATCGCCCAAGGAGTGAAGCGCACATCCAAGATCATCAACAGTGCCTAATATCTGTGAAAAAAAATGGGCGGGTTAATCCAAACACTCCCCTCTGAATACCGATAGCACTTTTGTCCATGGTGACTCAGCAAAAGCAGCCGCTAACACAAAAGTTTACTCCCACATTCTTTGTATTTCATTAACTCTGTTGTATACGTGCCTGCGGCTCAAGTGCGTGCGTTCTGCCAACGTGCGCATCGTTAATTTTCCCGCTCCACAGACGTTATCGGTTGATATCTACTCAGATCGATCAACCTCACAACATGGGCCCGATTCTGATTAGCTGTTAGTTATATTGCTGTCTTGTTCAACATAAGCTTGGCACGATTGATTGTGAACGAGTTATAATAAATCTATCCTACCCTGAGTACAGTTGTTCTACTTTGCTATCGGGCTACGGGTCCGAGAATACACAGTTCGAAATCCAAACGTAACAAACTCAGCGCTACCTGGCTCATAAACCTTGTGTAGACAATTCTTTTAACAGCAACAACAACAACGACAACAAAAACGGAACAAGGGAGTGACCTCTCTCCAATGGGTGTTATTCAGCCTTCACTTCGGAATGTGATAAAAAAACTTAAACTGAGTGATTTTGGAGAATGAAAGAAACAGATTCAATCAACTTATATTACGCTACATTTTGGACAACCGGGTCTCTTCTCCATCGACAACACATACGCGCACATCCACTGTCAAAACAGAGTATAAAGAAAAAGTGATCAGAATTTTCAATCGAAAACCGATTGTTTTTCGATTGTCTCAATTCCCGAACTGAAGTTTAAATCGATCGATTCGTTGGATCGAAAGTTCGCGGTCGACTAGTGTGTCCGTGTAACCTTGGTTTTAGGAAATCACGGCGGAGGTTTGCTGGTGAATCCGTCTGCCGCGGCACGCATATTCGGTTTACGTTCAGTCTGCATTGTGATCGCGATCACCACAAACGTACCAACGGCCAAAGCGAACGGAATCAACAAGAGGACCACTTGGGACAGTTTACTCATCATGACCACCGAGTAGGCACGTGGGACTACTTCCACATCCACAATACCAGCCCATTCGGACAATTCGCTGTCATTGGTTGTCCGGGCATCTCCGTGTATGCAAATCAGGTGATTTAGACGAATCTCATCCTCAGACGGTTTGGCAATTGCCTCAGCCACAATCAGATTGTACGCGGTATCGACACGATAGCGGCCACGGGTACTGTCAAAAAGGCTAACCACATGGACCGGAGATAGGACAGTGGTGAGAAATATTGGAGGCGAACCGTAAAGTTTGATAGTGTCAGACATGAAAGCGGTCGTGGTGAGATTGACCAGTTCATCCATGTCCAAAGGAGCATAGAACCAACTGATTGGTCCAAGGATAGCTCCACGGACGGGACAAGAAATAACCAAATTCTCACCTTCGTTTACTCGAAGTTGTACCCTTTTTGGAAGCTTGTAAAATTTTGTTTTCGTTCTAGATAAAAGAATAAAGAAAATCTCAATTTAAATAAGGGAAAACTTCAAACTAAGAACTGGATGGCCAATTTTTGGCATTGAATGCTAGTAAGAGATGGGTGCACGCAAGGATAAAAATGTTAGCCTGCAAACTTATAGAATTTACATTGTCACAAAAGCGTAAAATTCCCCATTCTTCTTTATTTGATTAAATGAAAGAAGTATTCTGAACGAGATCGCACGGATCAGCAAGTGTCGGGCCAGTCTGACTGTTCTGCCAGAAATGTATAGCGTTTGATGACTTGAAAACAGGTCAACTACTCCACATCTGCGACTTTTTACCTTGATTATATGTTACCTGTCCAGTAATGACAAATTTTCGTAAATATCCGACTACAAAATGACACGAGCAAAAGAAATGATTATGCCTCAAAAAACATGAACTTGAATTCTGTGTGGATTTTCGTCATCAAAATCTAAAATTGCGTGAACCAGTCAGTGAGCCCCCGACCAAGTGACTTCCATATATATATATATATATATATATATATATATATATATATATATATATATATATNATGGAGAACACATATGTAAACGAACGGGTACAAGCAGAACACTGCCAGTTTACAAGCCCTGATGATGCCACCTCAGCTGGAGGTGAAACGTTTACTAACACTTAGCCAAGCTCAATGAACAAGTGAACTGCAATTCAGTTCACCCGAGCTACTAGAACTGATTTTCAACATTAGATATATGTATCTTTCATAACGGGTAATATGTCAATGAGTGGACAAAATTTCCCTGGAAGCACACGACAGGTTTCGCGGTTTTTGCCACTCATCAGATATGCGTATCCGGTGATTTTTGTCAGTTCATACATATACTTCTACCCAGGTTATTGTGACGAAAATATATTTCCGCGGTATGAATGAATATAAATGAACTGACAAAAAGTATCGGATACGCATGTCTGAAGAGCGACAAGAACCGCGAAACCGGTCGTGTGCTTCCAGGGCAATTTTGTCTGGCCAATCATGTANAAAGAAGCTTAAGTCACTTTTGTTGCGGTAAGTAGCATCTAATCCATTTACAAAACATGGAGTCATAGTGTGGATTCTTCAATGGACTGACTCTGAGAGAGCTGTCTATCCAAAAATCACTGGCTGTTGCAAACAAGTTTATTGTGACGAAAATATAGATATAGATATAGATATATATTCATGTAACCATACGTTTGTGGGCAACCTGGCAGTACTCAACCCACGTGTAAATCATGGAACGTTTGTGTGATATATGTCTGAGGCCCAACTGGATAGTTTGAGTTGCAGCGTAGCCATATTCGGTATGCGTTTGCACCTTCAAAGTGTAAATGTAACTAAGCGTAAAATGTAACTACAAGCCTGGGTTAGTTCAGCCCCCAGCCTTACCCTGACTGGGAAAGTAGTGGAGGAAGTGGATAAGATTGGTTATTGAAGCAGCTACATCTCAACCGGTGGACGTAGCACAGATGAAAAGTCTGCTCGCATACAGACGGCTTGATTAGTATTGGCTAATATTGTTGTATAGTTGTTCAAACTGAAACTGAGTAATAAATAAAAAAAAACTTCTTTTCGGACCACACTACAATGGTTTTTACCCGCTAAAGCCTCTAGTCATTGAAAGAAAATACAAATAGTATACCCACTTTTTAACCATTGGACAAGTTCGAATGCATTCACGTAGCATGATTTCGTTCGGCCGAATTATAAGCGCTTTTGGTCCATATAGCCGCATCGCATCCCGAATCAGATGGGATCGACAAGGCAGGCCGCGACGTGCATGTACTCGGAGCAGCTCATCGATCTGTAAAGATAGTTCATGCGGCTTGACTCGATGGAATGGATCAAGCAAACTAACACGACAGGTCCCGACACGCATTTGGAATCCGTCACCTCCGGGCTCGGGGGATCGAGGCAATTGGTCAAGCGGGGTACACGGGACACACTCAGTCCAACTGCTCCATTCGGACCGGATTTCCAGATTGTTTTTAAGCAATTTCTTGGAGTTTAATGGACGAACTGAATTAATAAGACTTGGTGTTCCGGAAAGCAGTTCATCGACCAATGTTCGATTATCCCCATCATTCTGATCACGTAACTTCTCCAATACCGTTTGCTCAAATTCGATAGGTTGTGGCACATTTCGAAATGGTTCGTCGTGACCGCTGACTACGGTCACAGCCCATTCACGAATTTTGCGACCTTCATAGTAACAATAGTACATTCCAGTGTCTTCTACTCGAGTTCGTTTGATGACTAATTTATCTTTAATCAATTGGGTACGTCCTTTGCTAAACCGTCCGTGTGACGTAGTCAGCACGTAGCCCGGTTCATTGGGTTTAGCCACAAATATGTACAGTCGCGGAGCGGAAACCAGTTCATATGTTATATTTTTTTTCCTTTTTCCCGTGGTCCGTTTCTCTTCTTCGAAATTCACATCGTATAGAGAGGTAGAGGAACCGTCTGCTGATTTACTTTTTATTCGTGAATGCAAAACACTGACCAGTTCTTCCGAAACACCTCTCAAATTCGGCCAAATCCTTTCATGCAACCTAAACATATAAAACAAAAATAAAATTTGTCAGACGAAAGTTGTAAAAGGGGAAATATATTTTATCAGATTCCCGAAGGTTCGCTCATCAGATATTTTAGGGAATAAAATGTAGATCGAAATTCATAAGGTTATAATCAGTAAACCAAGAAAAATGAATTGAACATTTTGCGTTGGTAGAAAAAACCACCTTTTTAAGATTCAATATTAAAGCTCGCTGTATCAGAAAAAAATTAAATTACCCTTCACGATGTTGCCACGGATGCGCATCAAATAAACTCTAATTATCTACCATTTTATATTTTAATTGTTCCACCTTTTCTACTCTTTGCTTTGTATTCCAACCCACCTGCCCCCTGTTATTGTTATTGTTATTATTGTTGTAGCGTTGGCACCATGCTTGTCTACAGGCCGATATATATATATATATATATATATATATATATATATTATTGTGGTGACCAGCGTACGATCTGTTATTGACGTGTTGTTGATTCATCGTGTGTGACCTAAGACGTGGTTTTTTTTTAAATGCGGTTTTATATTTGTATTTGTATAGACTCTTGCGAGAATAGAATGTTTGCATTTCAGTCAAAAATTTACACATCTCATCAATAGAAGGAAAGATACAAG